GAAGAGAAGAGAAGAGAAGAGAAGAGAAGAGAAGAGAAGAGAAGAGAAGAGAAGAGAAGAGAAGAGAAGAGAAGAGAAGAGAAGAGAAGAGAAGAGAAGAGAAGAGAAGAGAAGAGAAGCTCTTCATTCTCTTATTTGGTATAAATTCAGAGTAATTCTATTTTAGAGTTAAGGAAGAGTGGTAATTGTAGAAGAAGGAGAAAAAGAAGTGTTTCCTATTGTTTTGTTACAGTGTAATAACTTTCAGGCATTGTGTCAACTTTAAAAAAAGTGCTATGGTCGATCTTGCATGAAAGTGTTAATGTCATTCTTTCATATTAGCCAAAATGGTTCTGTGATATACTTATTTTATTCCAGTTGAGCTGATTTTTGCTCTGCAGCCTTCTGCATAACTGAGAATGTGTCTCAGGTGGGGTTGGCCAATCAGCTGCAAGCTTACTTACCTGAATCAAGTTTTCTTCTGAAAATTGTGCCCACTGACTTTAGTGTCAGTGCCACTCATTTCAATGGGAATAAGAAGGCCCCATATAGTATATCAGAAGTGAAATGATGACATACTCCTCAGCCTCAGTAACACTGCTAAAGTCTAGCAAGAGCTTCCCCTGAGTGCTTTGCAATTGCTCCTCTGCAACTGTAATATAATCAGCATCTAATAAATGAAGAACTTTTAGATTAGAAACAGGATGATAGTCATGGATATGCCATCGTGCTACAAGCAGACACTTCAGCAAGTGTATCACCTGACTGTCCAAGGATAACTCTGTATGGCATTGCTTCAGCTTCTAAACTAGGAGACTGTCAGGTAACCTCATTTTGCCTTTTATTCCTTTTTATAATTGCTTTTTATTTGGAGACAACGTTTTTGTATTGATCTCAGAGTTCAGGTGAGAGAGATGTGAGGTTATTATTATTATTTTTTTAAAGATATGTTTACACTTCAACCTATCATGTAGCTTATCAGCACGGTGAAAACTTAGCAATTGCCTGCTGTCTGGGTGATTTAGTGCTCTGGCCACAATCCCCTGCTATCATCTCCTGCAGTGAGGAAGGATGTAATTCAGAAATGCCTCTTCCAGCTTTTCTCAGGGATACAGAAGAAAAAGATGCAGAAAGAAAAGGGAGAACATTTTCCTGTGGGCCAATTTGATTCATCCCAAGGGGATATTGAAAACAGAAGTAATTTTTCTTAAGCAACACTGTGAGAGGGAATTTCTCACTCTTTGTAGTTCTCATGTTTAGAAAAAGAGAGTGATGAGGTCTTTAGGTGTGAAGACCTACACAGACACTAGCAGAGTGGATGGACTGTTACTGGATGACTCCGTGGTGGCAGACTGACTGTACTTTGAATTTTAAGGACATTGCAAGGCTTTGAACAATTTCAGAAAGCATTTCTTTCTTTTTCAGTAGTCACCAAGGCAAAATGCTGGTACTCAGCTATTTTCTTTTCTAAATTCTATATTCACACCTCTCTGTGAAGTTTCAGTGTCCTGACCCACCCTGCACTGAAAAAATAATAAAATGACTTTAAGAAGTTGTGTTGGTATTTATTCCTACGTCCCTTAATTACAAACCGAACTCTAAACTCTTGCCCCCTCTAGTGTCAGAATTCGGCTCCTATTTCCCCTGAAGCCTTGCGAGCAAGGTACGGGCAATGTAGCAAGGCTTGACGTTTCATTAAACCCACATTGTGCCCTTCAGAAGGTCACAGCCCGCGGTGATTCCTAGTTTTACTCAGTTCTTATGTGTAAGAGTAATACTGGATTTTTCCTATGGAAGTTTATGCCTCTGGTTACATACCATCAGCGCCAATTTTACCATCACCGTCCTTATCTCCAGCAGCCAGAAGAGCCTTTGTCTCTTTGTCTGATAGGTCTCTGCCATCTGGGGTAAAGCCCTTCAGCACAAACCTAAGGAGGAGGAATGGAAAAAAAAAAAAAAAAAAAGAAAAGAAAAGAAAATTGTTGTTTGTTTGTTTGTTTGTATCAGAACAGTTTCACTTTGAAACTTCTTTTTAGTATTTATTTGCATTGCAGTTTCCATATATGAGGTGGAATCCATGGTTGTGCCTTCAGCAGAGGTCATAGAATCACAGAATCATTTTGGTTGAAAAAGACCTCTAAGTTCACCTGGTCCAATCATCAGCCCATCCCCACCATGCCCACTGACCACGTCCCTCAGTGCCACATCCACACGGTTCTGGGACACCTCCAGGGACAGTGACTGCACCACCTCCCTGGGCAGCCTGTGCCACTGCAGCACCGCTCTTTATCATCTGGAAAGAGCACTGTACTCTGAATCTAAGTACCATCCATGAGGTACTGATCACTCACGAGTCTGAGGGATCCTCAGCTAGCTAACTCCAACACACTATCATTCTTACACCAGCAAACAACTGATTATTGCACACAAGTATCAGCTGGGAGGCTGAACCATAAGCTGTTATGTACAGTCCTGTGAAAACGAGATCAGACTCTTAAGGTGAGGCTATTTGAGAAACACCATATCTTTACTTACTTTAACTCTTCCTCTTCAATGAAGCCACTCCGGTCTTTATCAAGGATATGGAAAACCTTCTTCACATCTTCTGGGCTCTTCTTTTTCAAACCCACCATCTCGAAAAACTTCTTGTAGTTAAAAGATTCGGCTGCTATAAGGGGGTGAAAAGCCATAGAATGGTTTAGAAAAATCTTTAAAACTTATATACATACATAACCTTTTCTTCCTTACTGCTTCATGTTCCACCCTGGGAGGCAAAAGTACATTCTAGCCTTGCTGTGGCAGGAGCTAAATACCTACACTGCAATAGTCATGCTTCACAAACACTCGTTTAAATAAACAAATGGTGAGAAGGGCACTGTTTCTGTTTTGCAGATGAAGAACTGAGCTACAGAGGGATGGAGACTTGCCCAAGGTCACACAGGAACTCTATGCAGAGTTGGAGGCTGAAGGCTAACCTGCCACTCTCATTTCAGTGCCTTAAAATATGTCTTGCTGAGTTTTACACTAAAAAAAGAGAAGTGTTCAGAGAGCAAACTCCGCCTATTAGACCACTGTCACTTTCTGATATTTCCACCCCCGTGGACAGGATCTATTTTAGTGCACATGGCTCGTACAGTTCTAGTCCGTTTTTCCTGAAGGCTCGCCTGAAATTGGCACAGAGTATTCCTACCACTAAAAGCGTGTGCAATCACTGTCTGTAAGCTCGGGCTCTGTGCTGTGCCAGCAGGACCCTCTGAGACACAGTCGCTGGGGAAAAAGCAGAGCCCTGGTGATCAGAGAAAAGATAATACATGGGGTTTACCTGCTGCATCCTTTAACCAAACCACCTCTGTCCCACCCATGCAGCCCCTTGCTAACGGCTATGGTGCAGCCTAGAAAGGTGCTGCTGAAATCCAATCCCGCGACCTCCACAAGGTGCTGAAATATTTATTATTATTATTATTATTATCATTATGCATCTTTGTTCCCTCCTCAGCTTTTCCTATTACATAAAGCGAAGGAAGATCAATCACTCGAGATCTGCTTGGCTGAGACCCGTCATTAGTAGCTCCTAATTACTTCTGCTCCGGGACTTGGAAACGGCCCTGGAACAATGGGAGCTAATGAGGAAAACAGCTGCCGGATCTAGCAGAGCAGTTCGTTGGTCCCCACGACTTTGTGGCTGCTGAGTTTGTTGGGGCTCAGCGGGTTTTGCACTGCTTCTGTTCAGGAAGGTCACCGCACAGAGCAGGAGAGAAAGGCACTTCGGGACAGGGGGGGGGCACAACGCAGCCGTTTCCTTGAGGGCAACCCTTAACAGTCAGAGCACGAAGCACGAAAAGGGTTTGCCGTCAGTTTTGAGAAGAGATGAGGAATATCTGAACACCGGAGGAGCCCGAGATATATGGGACGTAGGGACCGCTGCAGCCATTCGCCCTGCAGAAAGCTCCTGCAGTCGAGCAACGCACTCGCTTGCTCTGCTGCTGTGCCTTCAGCTCCATCCCGAAAAGCAAAGCCAGTTGGGGGATTCCGCATAGGGAGTAAGGAAAGAGCGGGTTTCATCTCCTTGAAATGCAAAAGAGCAGTTCTGCAGTACTTGAAACTGAATGTTAGATGGCTGGAAAGCTGCCGCCGTCCCTATCCTGCATCAGGACGTAATCCCCCTCGGTTCCCTTAGAAGTCTCCTCTCACGAGCAAAGCACAGCCTGCAGCTGCTGCTTACCTTCCTTTAAAAAGGAGCGAGCATTTCACCTCCTTCATGTGCAGAGCAACTTTGCTGAGGATGCAGTCCTGCACCTGATAAACCTGTCACGCCTTCGCCGCACTTCTGAAAACGCGTCCTCTTTGCTATCTAATCTAGCTGTAATCTTCCCCGAGCTTAAATAAATGCACTACATCCTGGGCTGGAGAGACGAAAGGGAGGAGAAAAAAAATAAAAAAGAAAGAAAGAAAATTAAGCACTCACCTGAAAAGGCTCCCACAGCCTTCTTGATATCCTCAGCGCTGAGCACGTCAGTCATCGCCATCCTGCAACTGTTTGAACAGGGAAGCAAGTGCGAAAAGATTAAAAAAGTGCTTTTCTCATCATTTCTGCTCATATGACCAAAGCTGCAGTGCCGTGTGGGGATGATGGCACGTCGGGAGCGGCTGGCCCGGCGCCAGCCACGGATAAAGCTGCTTGTGGCGGAATGCCACGGGCTGCCGCTCCTTCGGTGCGTACGGAGCGGTCCCCTGAAGGACGGGGTACGGGGATGCCTTCGTGGGGACCCGGCCGGGTGCGCTCCCTGCGGGGCGGTGCCTTACGGGAGCGCTGCGGGGGCTGCGTCGGAGCGGCCGTGCCAAGGTCAAGTCCTCGGGTGCGGTGGAACTGCAGAGCGGATCCCTTCTGTTGGGGAAGTCGGGATGAGCTTTAGCAGTTGTAGTCGGAACTGCAGCATATGCCAAGCTTCAAGCAGCTTTTGGAGTCGGGGAGCAAATGGAACGGAGCTCGTGAACGTTTGCTTTCTCGTTCAAACACTTAAAACGTCCCCCTCCCATCCCGCCCCCCCTCCCCCCCCCCCTCCCCCTTAGACCTCGTTTCTTTCGGGCCACTCCATATTAAGCATCATCCGCGCTGAATTCATTATCACATCCCCGCGAATCCCACGGCTGCCGCTCGCACTGTGCTGCAGAGCCCTCCGCGCTGGGATCCGCCGAAGGGGAAGTGGGAGGTGACCCCGCACTCGTGCCGAGCTCCTGCAGGGCGCCGGGGTCCTCAGGCGGGACCCACAGCCTCAAAGGAGCAGCTAAAAGGACTGAGGGATTCTGTGTTTTCTAGGTTTATTTGCTTCAAGAGACAGTGCCCGTTTCTCGCCTCGGGTGCAACCCAGTCGCAGAGTTTGGGCAGGAGCCATAGGGTTGAGGTAGCCAAGGTTAAGGCCCAGGAGTAGGGCAGATCTCGGTAGGAACACTGGCATCTCTGCCTGAGGACAGGCGGGGAGGGAGGCGGTGTGGCAGCAGCATCCCCACCCGCTGTCAGCAGCTCCTGGCCGACCCCGCTGACGCAATGGCACCCATGGCCCGAACGCCAGAGCGGCCTCAAAAAGGAGGGGGCTGCTTTGCAGGAGCTTCTGGCTGTCGGTAATCCCTTGGTAAAAGCACGAGCTCCCACACCCTCACCTAGGCGGCCCGAGCTCAGCTCCAGCGGGTGAGTCATTAGCGTGTCACCGAGCACAGAAGGACGGAGGAGGAGGTGACGGTGGGGTCCCTTCTTTTCTCTTTTCTGTTTTAAACAGTGAAGTCTTCCCTGTGGGAGCGACCGTCGTTCGGAACCATTCCTCCCCCCCCCAGCCCCCCTCCCCCCCCCCGAAATTTCTATGTATTTCCTAGGATACAAGAGAGTCTTTGTTGTCTTTAAGGACAGACAAACATTGGTAATGGATGGAGGAGCAGCATCCATCTCCTTTACCCACAGGACGGGGTGCACACTCAACCCGGAGGGCTCCGCTCTCCTCAGCTGCCCCAATATTTCCTGCAGTGGTTTCGGAGCCGGGAGGTGGAAGGGCGCGGTGCAGAAGTGGTGGAGTTCGGCTCGGAGGATGGAACTCAAGAAGCTCCGTATAGTGCAGTCAGTCGTCTCCCTGTTTTACACAGGTTAATTGTAGTCCCGCCAATATACAACCATTAACAGGAGAAATCACCGTGCTGGTTGCATGATCTTCTGTAATTGGCGTCTCTTTACTTGTTCATATTGATAGGAGATTTTTTTTTCTCTTTCTCTTTTTTTTTTTTCTTTTTTTTTCCCACTGGAGACGCCTCCATCCTGCTAGGACATCCTCGTCCCCTTTGCCATGTTCAGCATCGGTGCCATCTGCTCAGGAGCCGGGCTTCACCTTCCACCACTTTTTCACTTTCTTTTGTGACCCCGTCACCGAGGTTACTTCTCCCTTGGAGACCCAGAGCCTCCCTTCGGGTCCCCATGAGAGGGGCTGGCTGCTGCCCATCGGCCTCCGAAGATGCTCTTGTTGCGGGTGAATCGGGTTTCGGTGTCGGCCCCGCTCTGCTGACACGGCAGCGCTGTTAGAAGGCTGCCCTCCCCCGCACGTAACCCAAGCAGGGGACTGACAGAGATCTGCAGTGCTCGGAGCCTCCCCGAAGCCTCGCTCCGCACCCTGGTCTGGCACCCCCCATCCCTAACGATGCGGGAACCCCTCAGGCCTCAGCCTATTGTGGAAAGGAAGAAGTGAGAAACGCCAGCAGAGCTGCCAATCCATCAGTTGGGGCCCTTTGTGTAGCACGAAGCCCACTGTCCCCAGACTTCCCGTAGAAAGTCAAAGCAGCCGCATGTGGGGTTTACAAAGCGGCACAAAGGGGATTTAAAACGCAGCAGTGGCCCAGGCCCGTCTCTAATCTCGGCACAGCATCCGCCAGCAAACTTCCAGAAACTTTCAACCGCCCAGCTTTAGTCACAGCTGTGATCCTAATACATGTTATCCTAATATATGCTGTCCTAATATAAGCTATCCTAACATACACAAGGCGTTTCACGAATTGGCAGTTTCACACTCGACCCCTCGCCTTTTCCACATCATCCCTCCAGGATGAATGACACGTTTTGCTTTATTGCTGAATTTTTGCCAATTTCTTTCTCTTTTTTTTTTTTTCCTTCTTTTTTCCCCTGCAAAATCTACACCGTGCATTCCCAAGCTGACTGCAGGGCTTTTGCAGAGATAACTCCCCCTTCCTGTAGCACCAACGCGTTGATGCCCTCACCAGCATCGAGGAAATCATGTCGAAATCGAGCCGCCCTTGCCAAAGCAAGCCGAGTCGGGAGAACGGGAGGGAGGAAGCAGCAGAAGCCCCACGCCAGCAGCTCGATCTGCAGGCAGGCGAGAAGGGTGACACATCCATCTTCCTAATGACAGCATTAAGGGGAGAGCATTCATCCCATCGTCTGCGTATAACGAGACATTTCCTTTCTGCCACGTGTTTTGGAGTTGTTTTCTTTTCTTTTTCATCTTCTGTGTGCGACTGAGCGCTTCAGCGAATTCTGCTATAGGAATCCTCGCGTTCTCCTTCGCTTTCCCCTCTCCCTTCCCTCTTCCGTTGTTTCCATTTTCTCACTTTCTCCCCGTTTTTTTTCTCCTCACCCCCCCTTAATGTGTTTCGTTTCCTCTTCCTAGTGTCCCGGAATCTTCTCTGCGGCAATCCACTCCTCTGTGCGGGGGAGATTTGCACCTCTTTGTCCTTCGGTTTTTGTCTGTGGGAAGGGCCATAGGATCAGAGTGATGGAAGCGTTTCCCCGTTTACAGTCCGGTCGGGAGGAGGTCCGGGATTCTGCCCGGATCGAGCAAATCCACCTTCTCTGTGGAAGTTTCAACATTTTCTCTCTACTTACCTTTTAGATCTCTCCTAAGCACTCCTGAAAAGGTTCTTAAATACGGAGGTGGTCAAAAAGAAGTGGAACTCGGGGTAGGGACCCCACTTATATAATCTCTCCTGCTCTTTCTATTTTTAGCATATGATACCCACTCCTCACTGGTATCTGATATTCAGGGATTTTGGTGACGGTGTCACATTTATCTTTTCCTTAACTAAGGAACACTATTAATAATCCTTGGCACTCACCTTCCCCTGGCTGTGAAAACCTATTACCTCGGCAAGCTTAAGACTTTATTGTTAAGGGGAGAAGCGGGCTGTGGGGATCAGCTGTGCAGAGCAAATGGGCCTTCAGATTCCATCAGATGGAGGCAGCTCGGATTGCTCCATCAGGGACTCCAACCTGGGAGATGGGGCCCTGCTCAAAAGGAGGATCTCAGTCTCTACAACAAGCAGAAAGGAGGCTGTAGTGAGGTGGGAGTCAGGCTCTTCTCCCAGCTTAGGAGATAGGATGAGAGGTGATGTCCTCAAACTGCACCAGGGGAGGTTCAGGTCAGATGTTAGGAAAAATTTCTTCTCAGAAAGAGGGATGCTGCAGAGGCACAGGCTGCCCAGGGAGGTGGTGCAGTCACCATCCCTGGAGGTGTTCCAGAACCATGTGGATGTGGCACTGAGGGACGTGGTCAGTGGGCATGGTGGGGATGGGCTGGTGGTTGGACCAGGTGACCCTGGTGGTCTTTCCAACCTCTGTGATTCTATATTCTATGATTTTATGATGATAGAACCGCTTCATCCATCAGCGAGGGAAAACAGGCAATTCGGACATTTGTCCTCATCTCTCCTCAGCCTTAACAAGCACCATTTGAAACCAGCCCTAAGCTGCAAACCTCTCCTAAAGCTGCACCACTCAGCTTTAGAATCTTGGAATCATGAAGGTTGGAAAAGACCTGTAAGATCATCTAGTCCTGACCATGACAGGTGGCAGAAATAATTTTTTTCACTGCAGGTCATGATCAAAATGCAGCAGGTGCTTCCAACAGGCAACAGCAAACTCTGTGTAGCATTGGTTGTTCCTACAAAATCTCCACTCTGGACCCCATTGGGCAAGATGCTGTGGAAGCCTAAACAATTTACAACCTGAGCCCACTTAGGAGAGGTGGAGGACTGTAAATGAAGAGATACGGCACATATGGGCAAAATAAATGGAATCTAACATTCTCAGAGTGTGAATTCTCTTTATGTTCAATTGCTTCTTCAGGGGAAACAAACCTTTGAAGATGCCTCTATTTTTTACTCTATCAAGCAATAATAACAAAATAAAAGCATAAGTGAGAACGATTTGCTGTTTTGTACCCCACCTGGGGATGCTTTTCTTGATTTTGAATGTTTTTCTGGCAAGGGGAAACATTTTATGAAGGACTGTGAATCACATTTATCTGGTGTATATTCTGAGGTATTTTACATGTATTTTCAGTTTCAGGATGCAAATCCAACAGTTCTTAGGCTGCTGTGATACAGTGAAAATTATCTTTCAGGAAAGGCAGGTGTTGCAAAAGTGAGATTTGATTCTTCTAGCTTGATTAATTGATCCTAGAAGGAAGGAAATTTAATTGAGTTGTGTGTGGCATAAGAATATTTAAAAATATTTTGCTAATGCCAGCTTCATTACGATGCCAAGTTCTGTGATAAGTTGGAAATTCTCCAG